ATATATATATATATATAAGTATAATGTATAAGTATACTCTCTCTTATATATGTATAATATATGTATAAGTATATATAAGTATACTCTCTCTTATATATGTATAATATATGTGTGTATATATAAGTTTATATGTGTGTGTGTTTTTATGTATAATACAATTTGTTTATGTAATTACTATAAGTATTTACAATTTGTTTATGTATAATATATGTATATGTGTGTCAGTGTGTGTGTATATATATACATATACATATATTGAATGACATGAATACTTTGGGCTACTTAGTATATAAGTATATATAAATATAAGTATATTCTCTCTTATATATGTTTATATCTCTTATATAATTATATATATGTATAAGTATGCTCTCTCTTATATATGTGTACAGTGTATACTCTCTCTTATATATATATTTATACTCTCTCTCTCTTAGTATATAAGTATACTTATATATACACATATATAAACATAAACTTATATGTACATATATAAGTATATTTATATAATAGTATTAGTATAAATACATATAAGAGTATAAATATATATTTATATATCTATACATATATATAAACATAAACTTATATGTACATATAATATAATTATATTTATATAAGAGTATAAATATATATATACTATTATATAAATATAATTTTTATGTTTTATTGTTTTTTAAAATTTTTAAAAAAATAAAAAAACAAAAAAATCCGGGCCGGCCCGGACCACCCGGGCCCGGGTCCGGGCTTGGGTTTTGCCCGGCCCGGGCCCGGTTTTCCGGGCCGGGCCGGGCCGGGCCGGCCCGGATGGACAGCCCTACATGGACTTAATATCTTAATCACATCACAATATAGTTTTATTTCTTAAACCGAAAATTTCTCCGTGGTGGACAGCCCCATGAGTACAATGACTTATTTTTAAAGCATGCCTCCGGCGTGATTGCCCGAGTAAAATTGAACTCGGTCGTCAATGGCAATTTAAAACCCATTTTCTCTTCAGAAAGCTCATATTTCCTTTTAAAAATTCAAATTAAAAAAAAAATGAAAAAGCCAAAGACTATACAGTCAGAAAAAACAAAAGAGAAAGAGAAGATAAAAGAAGAGACAAATTTAAAAGGGCAACTCCAATTTCCCAAAAATCCCATCTCAGCCCGAACTTTCATGATGATGTTTTCTGCAGTGTCTTGCTCAATCCCGACCGTTCGCTTCACACATCGTACAACTCAGATATCGTCACCACTACGTACGTTTACATGTATTAAAATGTGGACACGCGTCGTGCAAAGAGAGGCGTCTGACGAACTTGCTGCTAACACGCCAGCACCTGATCCAGCAATGTTAAGGACCGAAAACGAAATATAACCGGTAAATGGGTCTTTTGAGAAAAAAAGGCCTGCATCTAGACAGCTAATTACATATTGGAGCAATTAAAATGTAATCTTCGAGGTTTCTAAAGGTCTAATAAAGTACTACTGCCACCTTTGACAAAAGTCCGGTCATCATTAAAAGACTTTGATAAAGCATTGCCGGCGCAGAAAAAAAGAAAAAAAAACATATTTGATAATTAATTGAGGCTTCCAAATTGGTGTGCTTTAGATGTTGGAAGAATGATTGGGTCCAAAAGGCAAGGAGTAATAAATGAAAAATTAATGACCCCATTGCCTAACTTAACACCAAATAACACAGCAAATAATTTCTCTGTGTCTCTACCTTCATTTAAGGATTTTGTTACAAAACTTATGTAGACTATGTTTTAATTAATATATATATATAATGCTAACCCCATGTGCCCGTAGATCTTATCTTCCCTTTATTTCTCACACAAAATCATTCCTTTCATTTTTAAATAGCTTGCCCATATGTTTATAACTTGGCAATCAATCACAAAATCATATATACATGACACTGGCATCATGAAAGAGTTGGACGAAGAAATCTGTGAGCCTAATAAGCTAAGAGTTTTACGAGTTTGAAGACGGAAAAAAATGACCAGTACATGCACAAATTTTATAAAAAAAACATCTTCTTCTACATAAATCTACCATCTTTACTAATGCTATGTCTGGGAAATACAGACAGAAACTCGCTCATGTCTGATTTCTTTTAAATGGGTTAAAGTTGATCCAAATGTAAATGATATAAAAGAAGCTTGACTTAAAAGACTATAAATTGAAGTGAAAAATTGGCTCAAATAGAAACTAATTTTTCAATTAAGATTGTACTCACAAAAACTAGTTTTGTGAAGTTCTCTAAAAGATGTTCATCTATTCCTTTATACAAATAGGAGGATTATAGAATTCCTATTCATGCTATAATAAATTCAACAGTAAAATAATTACTGTAGTATGAACAGTGACAGTATTACTATAGCAAACTTAAACACTATAGCAATTTCAAAAAATAAGAGATACTGCAGCAATTCAAGGAATTTATGGTTGCTGTTATGAACAGTAGCATTATTACTGTATCACACGGGAACACTGCAGCACATTCAAAACGCGAGAGACTGTAGTAATTCAAAACTTACTGTAATATTTAAGAAACATGATTGCTGTAGCATGAAAAATTTTATCGTCGTGCTTTGCACGGACCGCAAACTAGTCACATTCTACGCCCATTTCAGCTCCTTTCCCCTACGCCACCGGACATGGTAAATCTCATCACCGTACATAAAATTCCAACTAATAAATTATTATTGGGTTAAACCCCACTTCTATTTTGAACCGGTCTTCAACGTGTACTTTTCTGCAAATTTTCCCAAACAGCGAGGTCCTCATCTGCCCAGAAAAATAAAACAAAAAGACCCCACAACGAAACCGCACTCCCCTACCTCGACCTGCAGAGCAGAGCAACCTCCACCCATTCCCATGGCCGCCGACGACCCTTACCGCGTTTTCCGAACCCTAGTCGAGACCGCCGACAGAAAATTCTCAAAAACCCAGTCCCTCCCCCCTCACGCCCGCGGGCCCCACCACCTCCTCTACCTCAAAAAGACCTTCAAGTCCTACACCAAGCTCTGGCGGTTCCAGCAGGACCACCGCCGCGACCTCGTATCCTCCGGCCTCCGGCGATGGGAGATCGGCGAGATCGCTTCCAGGATCGGCCAGCTGTACTACAACCAGTACCTGAGGACGAGCGAGGCTAGGTTTTTGGTGGAGGCTTATGTGTTCTACGAGGCGATTTTGAGCCGGGGGTATTTTGAGGCGAAGACGAAGGGGGAGGTTGAGCTAGGGCTGAGGTGTAAGGAGTTGAGGTTCCATGCTAGGTTTCTTCTCGTGGCGATGCTTTTGAATCGGAAGGAGGTGGTTAAGGGTTTGGTTGAGAGGTTGAGGGTTTTGATTGATGATTGCAGGGTCTCCTTTCCGGTGAGTTTTATGATTTTTTTTTTTAAGTTTTGATTTTGGGAAATATGATGTGATTTAGCCCTAAGCGTTCTTTTTGCAAGGGTCTAGTGATTTGTTAGTTTCAATTTGGTGAGAATATGAATGGATTTAGGCTAGCCTCGGAAAATATTTTATCAGACTTCAATTGTGGGAAAATCCTCTTGAGAATGAGTGGGATTTACAATTTTTTTCTCTTAGTTAGGTATGAATTTGTTGGGTGTGGAGAGAGTTTGTGCCTCCCCTAAGCATTCATTTTCTGTGATATGATTTTAGTTTCATCTGAGTTCTAAAATTAAAGAATGTGAAAGAATGCCATCAATTAATGAAATGGATTAGGAATCATGTTACAAGCAGTACTTGAGAACAGCTAGAAAAATACTAGGTAGTTCTGGATTTGGTGAAGTGTTGAATGAAGTCTGCTTCTTTTGGGTCTTGATGACATGGTTTCTTGTTAATTTTGATTTGAAGAAATATGAAAGGAATTCGCCTTGAAGTCATATTCTCAGGCCTCAGTGATTTATTGGTTGAAATCTGGTGAAATTTTGAATTGATTTTAGCCCCAAAAAGCATTTTATCAGACTTCTGAACAGTGGGAAAATACAGTTAATAGAAGGAGTTAGGTTTACAATTTGGTTATTTGTTAGATTTCAATTTGATGGATGTAGAGAGAGGATGTGTTTCATCTGATTTCTAGTCTCGTCCCTTTTTATATGATTTTAGTTTCGTCTTGAGGTCTGAATTTAATGAGCTATGAAAGAATGTAGCACGTGAAAGGTAGTTGTTTGCGGATCAAACTGATGAACGAATTAGGAATTATACCACCACCAATACGTAAGAATGGCCAGGAAAGATATTTATCGTCATTCATCTGTTGGTGCAAGGAATTTAGGTTTCATGTCAGGATTTTGGTCATGAGGAACTGAGAAATTTAACAGTTTGGAGGTGTGTGCAGCGGTTTTGTTGATTAGCATTGTTTAGACTTTTTTTATTATAGATGAAACATCAGTCTTCTTGGTGTAGATTTCTGTATCAAAGAGTCTAATGAGAGACCTCCAGTTTATCTAGTTTTCTGACCACATGTTTTCACCTCCTAAACCATTAAATACATCTTTGATTGGTCATGAATGTTATAGGTGATTGAGATGGTTAAATAAACTTTGTTCGATCTAATAAACATTCTTTGATATTTTCAGATTTCATATCTGCATAAAAACAAACTGTGAAGAACTTCTTGCAGACAGATTGTGGGTATTTCAAGTCTACCTACTACTAACCGTTTCCTTAGCCCGAAAAGAGGCTATCAGGTATAGAGCGATATGTAATATATCTATCATACTGCCATTGGATGACATAAGCTTAAAGACGTGCCATCCTATACCTCGCGCAATTTGGGTTGCGAATCAGAACTATATTATGAAATTTGATTTGTTTACTGTGGTCTTTTTTGCTATTTTTCCTTTACATACCCATGGAGTTACAATAATCTATATTTTAAATCATTGCCAAATGTTGCTGATTTGTCTCCTCTGGCTAATGAACCTCAAAGTTGCAGTTTCCTTCTTTCCATGCCTCAATTTGCTACGAATCAGTTTCTTGTTAGTAGAATGACAGCCTTTGAATTCAGCAAAGCCTTATAGGATGCAAAAACCCTTGACTGTTAACACCCAATTCAACCGAAAATTTCCTGGACTGTTGTAATGTGAACCTTTTCAGTAATTACTTCTTCATACACAATCAGTAGTGTGAACCTTTTCAGTAAACAAATATGGACTTGCATCAGTTTACATTTGTAAATCATGACGTTGCTTTAGCATGTATATCATCATGTTCTTGAGTTTAGCCGTATATAGTTATTCTCACTGTGGACGTATATTCTAATTTCATTCAGATTTTTTGGCTTTCGGAGCCTACTGTTTGTTTGTCCTTTTATGCTATTTCATCTCCTTATTTTACTCAGAGGTGCAGCCATCAGCTATGTCTTTCCTTTTCTCTTTTGGATGTGAATTCTTATTAGTTCATTGCTCATATGCATTCTTAAAATAATGTATTTGCTTCTCAGGGAACAAACTTTAAAGAATGGAAACAAGTGCTACAGGAAATTGTCAGGTTTCTAAAACTTGATGCATCTTTTTTAAATACTAGGCCTTTGAGATACAATGTGTTGTTTGATTCCCATCCATCATCCATTCCATATATCAAACGCTTTCATGCACGGAGGGCATTGAGGTTGCAGGACGCTTTGTTGACAAGCTATCACAGAAATGAGGTTAGGTGGTTTTTATTTTTGCATTTCAAGCCTTAGAATTTTTACGTATGAAAGAGGAAATTATTACTACAAGGGTCACCTGCTAAGTTTGTATCTGTCCATAACAGAAAACAAAGGTAGTCCAATTCAAAATCCAATACTCAATATCAATTTGAAACAGTCATTTTAATCTTAATCCTAAGGTAAAGAACAGTGCCCAACAATTTCCTAGGCCCAAGAATATCCATTAAGAGCTTTTGTTCAAGATGCTACAAACATTGATTTCAAGGTTACTAAAAAGTTGTAGGATTAAGGAATACCATACACTAATTAGCATTAAGGAACGATTAGTTTAAATTTCTTGTCTTGAACTACGTAGAAAAACAAGTTTATTAGAAAACTTAAAGGGTGCTTAGTATCTACGCCAAAGTATAACAATTTGTCAAACTGAAGGTAGTCATGTACATATCAACCTAAGCTTTTCTTCACCTCTACATCAAATATGTAATAAAGCCCTTAACATCTCTTAGACTCAGAATTAACATCTAGTGCTATAGATTTCACAAAGGATTCCTGTAACCTCACCATCTATAGTCCTCATCAACCTGAAAATCGCTGATCAGAGATAAATCTACAGAAACAAATATAATACTGGTAAGTGAAATTTTTAATGATGAAAATAACTGGAAAGATATCTTAGGAGAAGAAAAAAGTGATTAGATTCTTACTAGGAATACTAGAATATTAGCCTGAGCGTTACTTAACAAGTAATCAGCGTATTTACAAAACTGCAGGCACTGAGGATGACTTGACCTATAAATCATATATACATCCATTAGATAGAGCAGAAATCTGCTAGTAATACAAAGAGAATATGTAAAATGTAAAAATTAAGAGAAGATATGTTACATATGTAGATGTCAACCAACAAAATTCGTTGACTGCTGCCATATTCTTCAAGGCCCGATGTATAACATCAATCACACTCTTGTTAGCAGCAGTGATAGGAATCCTAAATTGAGAGAAAAAAAAGTTAGCAAGATCATTTCGTGTATACATTGGTTAAGCCATAGCTTCCATCCTCAATGCCTGGAAGAAGCCTAGAATACTTGAAACCATTTGCAAAATTGACATCATTCATGTCTATACTATGCACTGTTTCAAGTACTCTACGCTTTTTCTGGGCATTGAGAACAAAGGGTATGACTTAATCAATGTATACACGAACATTATACTGATAATTTTACTAATTTTTTGCTTCTTAATTTACAATTCCTCTCGCTATTACTGATTAGAGTGAGATTGTTGTTGTAGATTGTGTTTTAGAGGACATGATAGGAGGAGCTGAATTTTGTTGATTGATGTCTATATATCTTATCTTCATTTTACATTCTTTATATTCTTTTTGTATTAGCATTAAGTTTCCTCTTTTTCTAATGGATATACATATTATTTATTGGTGAAGTCACCATTGGCGCCTGAAATATTGCCAATTCTCGATTATCTGTTATATCTCCATTGGGCTGATGTTCTTGTATTCAATGTGAGAATCTAATGATGTTTGTCTTCTCCCATTACATCTATATAAGTTAGTTTCATCTTTGAAAATTTCGTTTACCAAATATTTGTTTTGGTAGCTTTAGTTCTGATTACTAACTTTGAGGCTGTTGAGGAGTATAGATGCGTGAAGTTACGGAGGATCCAATTCGAAATTGTGTGTCTATGAGGGTATTGCACAATACGTAATGTCGGTTCTTGTTGGAAGAGAGGTTAAGTGCATTGTTACATATCTTGCACCTTTATGTGTAGAAAAGTGCCTTCTCCATAGTAAGGTAGCAGGTCAACGTCTGTCCTGGCAGAGTCAAACTATATAGTAGGATCAGATCAAATGAAGCACCTGCATCCCTTAGTGGGGGACATCTTGCTTAGCCCCTATAAGTGAGTCTCTTTGGAGAAGAAGGCTCTGACAAGAGTGAGCAGGCACGCTCTTTTGACTGTGGTTCAACATCCAGGGCGTGAAACAAAGCTTGGGCTGTTAAGTACATGTTTACCTTCATGTTAATAGACTTATTTTTCGTTGTTGCCTTGTCTAGATAACAAGGTTATAGTAATTGTTTCTTAGTACTACATTAGATTTTGTGTTTCTTAATCCTACAATTTTTGGTACCATTGAAATATCGCTTGTAGCATCTAGAGCAGAAACTCTTGATGGAACATTCTTCTGGAACTAGGACATCCTTAATCATGGCTCACTTTACCTTAGGATTATGATTAGTTTGTTTTGGATTGATATTGAGTGTCAAATTTTGAATTGGATTGCCTTTATTTTATGTTACGGATAAGTAAAATTTTTGCAGGGGATCCTTGTAGGGATAATTTTATCTTTTTAGTCATCCCTTTTTATGTTTAATATATCTTAAATTACTACATAATTTTTCTTTAGTCCTCATTTCACTGCAACTTGTAAAAATATCATGTTCTCTGAATATGTGGTATTTTATTGGTTTCATGCGTCACATGATACTCACAAATAAGAAGAGACTACTAGACTAGATATTTGTATGTGGGTATAGTCTCACATTACAAACCTTAGAAATCTCAAACTGTTTAGAACACAAAAATAACTACAGGTGAAATTTCTAATATCTTTTAATTTTCCATTACAATCATCTAACATATTTTATTTTTGCATGTTGAATATTGAAATTATTAGCTATAGTGCAATATACGTTCCTATAAGTTTTGGCTCATCCCCATAACTGTGTGTATTTTGTGCGATTGCAGGTCAAATTCACTGAGCTAACTCTGGACACTTACAGAATGATGCAATGCTTGGAATGGGAACCAAGTGGATCCTTCTACGAAATGCCCAAAATGGAACCTAGAGAAAATGGTGCTATTAGTGATAATAGTGCTGCTTCTGGACTGATAGATATAAACCTTGCTGCCGATATGATTGATTCTTCTTTGCCCGCAAATCCTCGCAAATCTATTCTGTATCATCCTTATGTCCTGCATTTGATTGCGGTTAGTATTTTTAGTACTTCGCTGTTGGTTTTCCAAACTAAGAAGTATTTGAAGGTGTATAAAATGTGTGCCAGTCCGTAGATACCATACTGGCATCTTTTATACATCATTAGCTCATAGCGTGATTACAAGTAATATGGCTCTTGATTCTTTATAGAGCTGAACAAGCCTATAAACTCGAGTCAGACAAAAAATGAAGAAATTGGCTACTAGTGCAGTCAATGCAATGCCAAGAAATGTATGCACTCATGATTATCAAACGTTGTAAATGGATAGCAAATTGACCATGTGTACGATGATCTTCGAATGGTCAAAGGAATGGATATGGCAACATCATTTTCCAACTAGGGAAAAAGGACCTAAGCAATTAAGTATGGATGCGGTGGTACTTGCATGCAAGTCCCAGTAAGGTTTTATATTATGAAATAACCCTTTAATTTTAACAGAATCAAGCTTCCAGAGTTCTGTCAATTGTTGATTATTGTTAGTTAATTTAATATTGAAATTAGGGTTTATAGCTGTACCTACATATCAGTCTGTAGAGTTGATAGACATCTGAAATAGAATTTTATTCCAGAAGCAGTAAATGGAAATGACAAAATATGGGATCACATTATGCTTGCATTTCCATATCCTTCTTTCTTTTTGCTTAATATACAGCTAATTTTCAGAGACATGGTTTGTTGTGAGAAAAGTAAGGTTGTATATTGTACTTTGTAGGTCCTGGGAACTATTATTGAAGAGCTCTCCTCAGATAGCATTTTGCTGATATATATATCGGCCACAGGTTTAGTTCTTGGTTCTTGAGTTCTACCGTAACTAGCTACTCATATTTATCATAACATCCTTGAAACATTTTTTTAATAATTCTTTTGCAGGAAACTCCGACCAGAATATTGGTTTTCAACGAGACACTTATAGCACTTCATTGAATGCCTCAAAGCTACACCCTGCATCACGAGGCCGTCATAAATGGGATGACTCACCTCCCAAAGACCCTGCTCGTGATATGCGTGATTCAAATCAGGGCTCTGGAAGTTATTTATGTCTAGGTTCTCGAGGAAGTGGAGGTATGTTTCTCACATTATTGCATGATACAAATTCTCTATTAGAGATGCTGCTTTTTGAAAGATTACAAGAGCATAATTTATCATGTATTATTATTGTTGTATATATTGTCCTCTTTTGGCTAATTTGAAACACCATCCCTGCTTATTCTAAAATTGTCTTGATTTCAGGCCTAAATAATTTGTACCCTGAAGATTTAATTCCATTTACACGAAGGCCACTTTTCGTTATTATTGACAGCGACAATAGCCAAGCATTCAAGGCAGGTTCGTCAAAACTTGGTCTGGGCTCTTGCTATATGATATATGATTATAACTGATCACAGGCCTTCGAATATTTTAGTGTTGTTTTTATTGTCAATAAAAGTGGAAACCTAGTTATCAATTATGTTTTCCCCAAAACTTCATTTATTTGTCAAAAAGAGTGGAAGGGGTATTGAAAAATAGTTTCATGTATGCAGTGACCTCGGTTGCTGTTAAAGCTGTCTTTCAATACTGAAAAAGATGTTAAGCAACATAGTTCTTGCTTCCAACATTTTGAGACTATTCATTGTCAGAAAACAGTTGAGATGTTAAAGAAAGTACAGAACATGGTCTGACATGACTTGTATACAAAGATGGACAAATCTTAAAATCTAAAAGTACAGGATTGCCATGGACATCATAGTAACAAATTGCAGACATATTTGTCTTTTTTTTGGGGTCCATGACAACATAGTAATTTAATTATTTCTAAAAGAACAGGACATTCTATGGCAAAAGAAGATGACAATAAATAGTTCAATTTTACTAGTTGATTAAAATACAATGTTTTGCAAGCATTACCATTTCATATATTTGAGGTATCTATAGTTATATATCTTGGATTTTGAGCTCCTCAATCTTTCTATACAGAAGGAGCTGAGTTTATCATAACATCTTAGAGTAATTTCTAAATTTTGATTTTTAATCTGTACCTCAAAAGTGCTGGCCTGCTAGGCAGGTCAAGGTGTTTTGGGTCTGCAGAGTGCCTAGAGCTGTGATCTAATTAAGGTCAAACTGCTTAACAACACTCGTTGCAGTATGAAGTATTCTTCTAATTGTTTTGTTTAAAAGATTAGTTAATGTACTTTAAAGAAAAATCATATCCAGACACGTGTAATGCGCATAGAAACTTTTTGATAAGTTGTTAAAAGGCTCACCTGGGTAATGTTAATGAATGAGCTCCTGATATTTGGAATTTATTAATTTAATACAAAAACTAGGACAAGATTAAAAAAGTGTTTGGCAGATAATAGGGAGTGTGTATAAAAAATATACACCAGAGTTTGAAAAGGCATTTGCAAGCAAGCTCATTGCCTAACCGGCTAGGTGGTTACTGTTTTCCAAATGTTTTATTTTCTTGTAAGGGTAAAAGGCACAAAAATTGTTATGAAAAAACCAGAATAACTATAGGAATTTAGGGAAAATCAAAAAAATAAAGAAAACGAAGAGGTAAATAGTAACTGAAAAAAGAAAGAAGAATAACAATTTAAGAATAGAGAAGGAGAATTGGAAAAGTAGAAGAGGGATAGATAAGAGGAAGCCACAGTTCACATCATCAAATATAAAGCTAAAAAAAAGCCAATCTTAATTTTTTTCTCAGCTTCTAATCAGCATTACAGCATCATATGCTTCATCCTCTGAGGCGGCAGATGAAGAGATTTTGGGCTATGAGTTTGTATAGGGATTGAAAGGAGTAGATAGTAACTCTAGGCAGATCAAGAATAAGAAAATTAAGTTGATGAACTAGATTACAAGAAAAATAAATTCATTCATCAATTCTTGTCTATATCTTTGTTCCCTTTGTTTACGTTTAACCAGTGTTTAAAAAAGCGGAAACACAAGGCTTTTGATAAAGCGAGGCGTAACCTTCAAAGCGTGAAGCATAAGCTTCATGAGTTCAAGTATTTTAATTTTAAATTTGTAAAAATTATGAACATATAATATATAGTGGTGTAACAATTACAAGTATATACATTCATGTCTTGATTAGTAAATAAGAATTAAATATATGAAGTATAGAAATAAATCATAATAAACTAAGCTACATGCATACATAAATATTTTATTTACAGTCAAATAGTCATATTGAAAATATATAGGGGCATTTTAATTTTAGTCAAAGATCCTTTTATGTCCTACTATCTAGTCTTAAGCGTGTGCTTCAAAATAAAAGTGCTTTATGAAGCGCGAAGCGTACACTTCAATTATGTTTTAAGCGATGAGGCGTAAGCTTCAAGGGATAAATAGCTTCACTCTTGAGTTTCGAAGCGTTTACCCTTGAATAAGTTGTGAAGCGAGTTTCAAAAAACTTTTTCAAACATTGTTTTTAACCATCTAACAGGTAGTACCTACCTAAAGAAACTAAATCAATTACCAATTATCCTTATAATTGATTTAATAACAGGAATATCTCAGTTATCGTAATCCTCATCTAAAAATGAGAATTTTAACCAACCTAAGCAGCTAGGGGAGAAAAAACTTTATCTGAAGGATAAAATGTGACAAGTTGGCAGAGGTTGACGTGGTAGGTATCATCTTGAAGCATTCAATTTCTTGCCAAATATGATGATCAGGGTTAAGGACTTTGATGTCTGTAATTGTCGGCTACAAAGTATCCAGCAGAATGCTGCTCTATTGGCCCTTTAGTCACGATTAATATATGGTTAACAATAGGCTCAGTGGTAATATAAATAGTCGGTACTAATGGAGATGGTTGTCCAAGTGACAAAGAGGTTTTAGTTTGGGATGGTTGTTGAATGGAATCTTGTTTGTTGGCAACTGTCTATGTCTTGGAACCCAAAAGTTCCTTGTTGATTCGTGATCTGTAGTTATTGATGAAGATAGTCGACGTCCCCATGGAAAAAAGATCTCCGAAATGGATCCAGTCTGAGTTACATAAAGTTACTATTTTCTGGTCGAATCGTCTTTTTGTTACTAGTAATGATGGAAGAATCTTACTTATTAAATATTCTCGTTTAAACCTTATTTCTGTGGAATATTACTGTTATTCTGCTTTTTCAGTTTTGCAATGTGTAAATCTGGTTATCCTTATAACCTGCAAAGGACCCTGTTCCTGTTGAACTTGAAATCAATACATCGCTTTACTGAACTAGATGAAACTTTGTGATGCCTTTACTTCATTGGATATTTGAATTCCTGTGACCACAAGTAAGTTACTAAGACTTTGATATATGGCAGCTGCATCCATAACTAAAGTCCTGTGATGCAGTATTATGACTCATCTTTTGGATGTCTGTGCAAATTGAGTTGTGTCTTGTAATTTCAGAGGTTTCTGAAATATGATATGCAAAAAAGGTCCAACCAAGTTACTTAAAACCTTTATAACTTCTTTTATTCTCTTGTTTTGTGTCTAGTTTTATTCTCTTGTTTTGTGTCTAGTGATGAATTTCAAGTTTCAAACTCTTTTATTAAATATCTAGGTACTGCATGGCGCAGAAAGGGGAGAAACAGCTGCCTTGCTTCTTTCACCTGAGAGACCATCATCAATTTCTCCTTCTGATTTATCACCCAATGGAAGCCAGTTTACATTTTTTCTAACTGCTCCTTTACTAGCTTTTTGTCAACTACTTGGACTTTCATCTAATGTCAGCGCTGTAAGTTGACTTGATGCTTCAACTGTTACGCTTATGTTTGCATTTTCTTATCTGATATACTTGTAGACAATTTCAGGATGCATATAACAATGCTGAGACGATAGTTTCATCCGCCATAGCTGAGTGGGAAGTGGCACTCTGTACATCAAACTGTCTAGATCCTGTCTGGGCTCAAATTCTTCCAGATCCATTTCTACGTCGGCTAATTGTTAGGTATTCATTCAACCGTAACTGTAACTAATGTTCTTTCTTTCACAATTTTGATATTATATTCAGTGTTGGGATATATTTTTGTTCACTATTAGACAAATGCCTTAAAGAGCACCTAAAAGGAAACCAAGATTTTATGTCTTACCTTCTTAAGTATTTCCCTGCCTGCAACAAAAGGCAAAATTCAGATTTGCACATGTTGTCGCTGAGCTTACAGCTACACAGCCGTTAAATTTAGAAGTTGACAGTTGTGGCTCATGGGAACTTGACATAGGTCTGCCTGCATGATTCAGGGAGAGCCTCAACTTCATTGCTGATTGTATTGTAGGCTGAAAGTTCAATTGCTTTTGCTTAAGAGTGCACAGGTGGATAAGACATTAGGCCTCCGCCTCCCATCTTCCCTGTGTTGAATGGCTCTCTATAGATGCTCCGCCACCATTGCTGGGATTGGATTGCTTTACCTACCTCTCCTAATGGTTTTTAAACATTTTTCTAAGTTAATAGATTGGGTCTATTTGTAAAGCAGAAGAGGGGAGATGGAATTGCCACATAGGAACCTTTCAGAAAAATGTGTAGAGATGGTACAATAAAGGATTTGAGAACATCGATAAAGAGAGCAGATGGAGTCCGAGGTTCTTCTAAGGGTTTTCTTTTTTTTGGGGGTGGGGTGGGGGTGTTTTGATGCTCAGAATACAAGTTGCAGCCCCAGTTACACCTTACATATATGTGTAGTCTTGATCAGATCTTTACCATTCATTTCTAAGTAAATGGATAGGATTAACTCTCTTTTACATGGGCCAAAAACATATCCACGCATGCACATGCACAATTTAATGTAAAAAATTTGGGTAGGTACTGGTTGAATATTAGTCTGATCATTTTGGTTAATTTTTAAGCAAGATGGAATGT